ATATATATTTTATTGCTCTCGTTTTCTCCCAGCAGAGCAAGGCAACAGTAGCTGGTCCTGCACAAAGATGAACGATTTATATTGGGATGCTAGATGCTCAACCCCATCAGCTGCAACATTTTTTCGAATCACTAGACCGATGCCCGAAGCCTGGCACCTATACTGCTATATAGTGCTTGCATCTGCGAAATCCCAACAGAGGTGGAGGGCACAGAATTTGAGTTTCCTTTCTGATTGACCTCCCCAGCAATGCAGGTCCCTGGGCGTGATGGGAGGCCAACCTCGGACTGCATGATTCTACTGCTTTTCAAGGCATGCCTCAACAGTGTCGTCAATTTCGAAATGTCAAATGGACTCATTCCAAACTACTTGCGATACCTTAGTAGATGAACGAGCATCGCCCGACGTGACGCTGGCCATTCGGACGCACGTCAGTTTTTTTGCACTGAGGTAAGTTATTACGATATTGTTAGCGTTCTACTAAAATTTTTAGACATCATGTGAATAGTGTACGTTCCATAGGCGATGAAGGGCTGTGATCGTTGCACACCTGCGTTCGAATCGGGCTTGTTCCCCGATTAAAGTGTGAAGTCAATACCTGTTCATGTATGTGCTGGCAAGTGTACGCTCCCTTCTTTGTAACGTTGTTGTTGGCCATTGTGATCTATTGCGATTTCTCGATATATGAAGACTTCAAGTTTTTGCGTACAACTACTTTGGTGCCGCTTGATTACAACGCTCTGTTTGTGTTGTGACTGTGTGCTGGACAATGAAGGCCACCTTGTCGCGGTTTAGCGAAACAGGTGCATCCAACTGAATTAGCAGTTAAATAGAAATATTCCCTTGGTAAAGACCGGGCAACAGTGAAAGTTTATCAGTGCTACCACCGAGCTTCCCGGCCATATTTGCCAAAAGCTGCCTTGGAAACTGTAGCAATTATAACATTGATATGCGTGCACGATCACGCGTATTATTCAGCACTTAAGTATAACGTGTGGAACCAAACTCAATAGTGTACACCATAAGTACTGTTACTCGTGGGTGAGAGCTGTTGGACCACGTCTGCAGTTTTTATTTTTGCCGGACTAGTCGTTTAAGTCTGGAAAATCGAACTAATTTCTTCACGCTTGAGGCGGTCGCAGATGCTATTGATTCATTTAACGAAAACTGGTGCAACTTAAAATATTCGGCTGACCGTTTGGGAAGATGGAACAATCTTTAACAAGTTGCCCTATTTCATTACCGTGCAGTCGGTAAGAAAATTTCCCAATATTAGTTTTCTTGTGGTGGACTCGAAGAACAGCAGACAGCTAGCAATCGGCCAAGGCTTGCGTGTAACTCACCGCCCATTGCAACTACAAGGTTGCTGGAAAAAGACTGGGCAAAATGAGTCGGATCCAATGTTGATTAAAACGGTCAGCGTAGGCCCTTGATAAGTCAAAATCGACAATCAGACAAAATCAATCAACAACAAACCTAAAATTGAAGATCCTCAATTGAAACAGAATCAACATACATCTCGGGTTCATCACTACCTCTGCCATGCACCTCGAAAACGGTTGATCCTTCAAAATCAGTGACAAAGTTCCCCAAGTTTAGGACTTTTTCTCAGACTTCTTAGTGTTTTTAAGATCGTGTTATTGTATAGTGATGGTGAAACTAGAGGCCTTAAAAGCACCTCTGTTTGAATCCTACATATAACTCCATGGAGTTATGCGCTCTGGCAGCTGAACAAAGCAGGTGATCCCCGAGCACCGAATTTTTATATCCATGATTGAAATCCGATAAGGTTATTCATAACGCCGTAAAGAGAAATAGGCAAATGCCTGGACTCACACAACCAACAAGGACGATTTTCATATTTTAATATAAAATGGGCAGCCCAAAACCGTTCAGATTTTCATGTATGCGCCTGCCGTGAACAGAAGGACCAAAGTAGACACCTTAAGCGTCCGACTATTTCCAGAGCAGTACAGTTGATGCGGCTTTAACTTGTTGGAGCGTACGAGGTTTTGCACAGTTTCGATGAGTATGTGTTAGCCGAAACTCGGCCCCAAAACAGCTGGTAGTTAGGTGGTGTTACGGTCAAGAAGCCTAACCTGCACGGGATTGGTCGGAAGATCGGGCCGCTTAAAAGTCCAGCATTAGAGCGAGCTCTGTCGGAAAGTGTGGGCGCAACAGCCAACCATGATTCACTATCCGCCCACAGCCAGTTGTTTTTCATTGTGCTCTTACGGCTGCGAAACACGACGCACTAGCAGGGACTTTTGCATAAAACTGCAAGCATTTTTACGGAGAAACATATTGCTACTTCCTACCTGTCGTACGATGTCAATGATATCATTGTTAGAATACAATCAGCAACCAAAAATGAACAGACAGTTATTCTAGCCATTTCCTTTCTTTCCGATCAGTTAGTTTATTGATAACCCAAGTTTTTGTTGTTCAGAACCTACCATTAAATCTTTTCCACGTACTTTGATAAAAATTCCTAAGCCTTTGTGTGGTGACTATGTAGCTTTTATCTGATGAGGCATTCCAAGGACAAACTGAGAGTTTTGTGAAGAGTTCTATTGGGCTCATCGTGACTGCAATACGTGCAGACCAGGTGGAGTATAAACTAATCAAAAGGATTCACGAATTCCTGGTCTGTGACACCATATAAATGACTTGTACTTCGTATGCACAGATCCAGGTGAGCTTGAGATAGCTCACAAGGCGTGAACTCACTTATCGGAAAGTCCACGGTTCGAACGCAAAGCCAGCATCTCAACTGCTCCTATGTAGGCTTGGGCAACCTGATAGTACATCAGTTCTCGTGATTCCTTCGTGGGACTATGGTAGCTAGGTGTCGGGAAGGTGCACGATTATCTTCATTCTCTTTGCAGATCTTGATCCGATACGTGAACTCCATAAACGAACCCATAGTGCCAACAGTCATTTAAACCTTAAGCAATGTTGGAGATAACGCTGACTGATTACTGTCTATAGCCCCTGCAAATCTTCGTGAAATAATAAACAACTAAATTAAATGGAAAACAAAACCGCTACTCTACCTATCTCTCTGCTCGCTATATATAACAACATAAGCAATAATCATTACTGTCAATCTTTGAAGCTAACAACACGTTCATGGTGCACTGATACAAGTCACGGAAATGTCAAATCAATTGGTTGAACTAAATTCGAATAACAGAAACATATCGTGTCCGATAAACAAAAGGCAAACACAATTAAAATTTACATCAATGTGATCCACAAATAACTTTCCGCGTTTGCCGCACGCACTGTTGGTTTTACCTTCTGTAGTCGAAGAATAACCCTGTTGCCTTTCCGCTCGCTTCGTTGTACTAACTCCTGAATTTTGTCCTTCATTTTCTGTGTTTGATAGACCCAGACTGGTATTTTGAGTGAGATATGAGGGTTATGGAGCAGCCGAAATGCAATCAAACAGAAATACTTCGGAGCATGAAGTGGAGACAAAGTAAAAACAAGGTTCAAGTGGGTGCTGTTAGATATTTATAAAAGGCACTTGAAATAAATGATACGAAGTGGAATATGCGGTTGGTATGATGCAAAACATAGTCTTCCGGATGAATTCCACGTTTAGGTGGTTGACAGGCATCACCACAAAAATTTTGGATTTTCACGCTGGGCGATATAATCCGCCAGATTGAATACCGCGATTTCCGATTCATTCACTAACGAAACAGAGATAAGAGATACAAAAAGTGGGTGAATCTGGATGCCCAAATTACTCACACTTATCTGTCATTGAATTGTGCTCCTGGGTAGGCCACACGGACTATGTTTAATAAACGACATCATTTGGCGTCATACAACCCAGTGCTAGACAGGAGCATGGCAAGACAGTCGGGTTAGCAACGCTCCGTTCGGTTTATGGCGAGGTGCGCTGAAGAAACATAAGCAGGTGGAGGTGGAATAGTTTGTCACACCCGATCTGTCCAAATTACCCCAAAAAATCTCATTCTGAGGGGACGCCACAAAGAAATAAGGCTAGCAGTGCAAAACAATTAACAACCGAAGGAAATATGCTTCCTCGAAATCATCTTAACTTTGGGCATTACTCACTTAGGGAGTGATTTGAAAAATTGTGACGAAGGCGCCTCACTATTCCGTTGCAGAGGCAGTATTAATCGGGCCCATAAATGGTCGAATGGCGGCAAAAACTTCGGCGAAGATGTCTTTTTGGTCCAATGACCACAGAAACTTCGTAGTTCTTGCACATTTTCGTTAAAAAACAGTAACCATTCGAAACAAACCGAAAATTTCGGATTTAACAACCAAAATTCACTTGCATCTCTTCAAATGAACCTGTCGCACAAAGGCATTTTTACGGTTGTGCCGATAATCAAGATATCGAAGTATTTTCCTGTATGTCAGTGAACAACCCATTATAGGGCTCATCAGGTAAGCGTAGTCCCCAAATCCTAAAGAACCTTGCCAATAGGATTTCAGGATGGGTCTCCCGTTAACATCAAGTTAATTTGTAAACAAGTGCCTACCGCAACATATGTACAATTCGGTGTCTAAGTAAGCGAACAGAGGGATGGGAATTTGTGGACTAGACCCACCCGATGAGTCCCGAAATTGACGAGAGCGATTGTGAACAGTTCATACTTTTCATCAACCTTATAAGTAGTATTCAGATCCCTTCTTTGTTTTTTAATGGTTACTCGAAAACGCAACGTAGGTGGGGTGTGGTTAAATGACGATGAAACAACCAGAAAATAAGGATGAGATCATGGGGATGAGACTAACAGATAAGCACAAAATATGCTCAATCAACCCTGAATTGTGAGTAGAATAGGATCGCACTGCTGTCAAATAACGCACAATATGATCATTTTGTGGGGGTGATCACTCAAGGAACCCACGACAACCGCGGTTGCTACATGTTTTGTGGTACGTAACCACCAACGAACCATGAAATAGTATTTGTTGATACCACATGTTTCAAAGATAGACTTTCGCCAAACCAATGGCACCGTTCACTAGAGCATTCTCCCCGGGTAGGAGTTACGAAAAAAGGAAAATTTAAATGCGTTGGATATTCCTGTGACAGCACCAGGTTCAGTTAAAAGGTCACACTGGAATTGGGTAATATATTCAACCTATTATATGATATACTGAGACAAAAATGGTTTCCGACACGCTACTTCAGTCGTCAATGAACTCGTGCGGTCTTGTAGTATTTGTTTGAATGCGAAGCTGCTATTGATAAATCTTCATTAAACCATGTTATATAGATATTCCGGGGCATAGGTTTGCGGTGTATGTCTGTAGCCATTTTGATTGTTTAAACTGACCAGAGCGTCTGGATTTTAACCGTAAGGCGGAAAGCCAACATTCGACTGAGGGTTCATCGAATTGGTGTTCGTAATATGCCATCAGAAGTTAGGGACAGTTACAGCAAATAGGTCGCTTGACGCGATGCACTCCGGCAGGTTGAGAACAAAGAATCAACCTTGAAAACAAAAGTGTTCGTTATTATTGTAATCACAATCGGAACTATTCTTCATGGTTTCCAATTTTGCATAGTTATATTCCAAGTGATAGTCACAAATTTCCATACGTCCATGCTCTACTAATGTAACGGTGAATACTGCTGATGAGGCATCCGAGAAACATATGGTTTCTCGTAAATCCGCCTTGATCTAATGGAAGGTGGGATTTATTACAGAATTTGTGGAATGACTATGTAGCATCCGTTACATTTGCTTGGTAGTCAATGAATATATAGGAAAGTTCAAGAAGGCAGCTTCATTTGAGGCCCGCTTGGTTGATTGGTACCTCGGAAATGTCTATGAACTAGATAACTCTGTGGACTTTTACACGGCTTTTCAACTTACCAATACCCAAAGAGCTGAGAGTTTGATTCGATCGTTGTACCGGTTCCGTTTTTAGATCAATCAGTAAGTCTCCAGACTGTGGGGGAATCACCGTTTTTATCAATAAGCAAATTGGCCAACCTTGGCTTTATGTGCCTGGTGACGAATTTTCAATGCATCTGAGACAATGGGAACAGATGAGGACAGTCAATCAGACAAGTCATTAACGAATAAAGTGTGATTTCGCGAAAAACCTAGCCCATTATACCCAACAGCTGCATACTTCGGTCGTTGGCGATTCACTCATCGCCCTCCGGCCAGAATAAAGTGCTCAACCAATGAACTGGGTCTTCAATCCATTAGTAATTCTGCTGGTTGTGAGACGGATGACCGTATTCTGACATCTATCGACATCGATTTCGTCGGAAAAGTGAGCATCGGCTGTGGCAGTGGACTAGACAATGCTTTGGCCCATGAGCTAGAAAACCAGATCATTTGTAATCTCTCTCAATGGGTGTGTCAACCCTATCTCTAGGACTTCTTTACAGTTCTTTCGGGAATAAAAGACCAAAGTATTTGGACCTCCTAGTTCCGGCTAATTTACACATAATCTCTGTTCAACTCAATGGGGTTGACGAACATGTCCATGACACGCAGGTACTCGTGTGCAATAAACAAAGCAATCTCTGTACTTAAGACTCCATACAGCTGCACTCATAAAATCACATAAAAGCAAAGGTATCTGGTGGGATTAGTGGGGCATTGGAGTACGAATTCTGGTTAGCCGTGAATCATAACAAGAATCCGGTTCGAGTATATGATATCTCAGACTTAGATGTGTACCACATTAGTCGCAGTACAGATTATAGCACAATGACTTGACCACTGGAGAAACGGAGCGCTCACCCGTAGAGAAGAATTCATTTTTTGTCTAACCTGTGGTCGAGGTCATGGGGCTTTGGCTCAAAATACTCTAGTGCACAGCTGACAGTTTTCTCCCATAACGATCAAATTGTATAAACCTAGGTTTTCAACCGCAGTGAATTAAATGTTCGTGGTTCCTGCCAATCATTAGGTGTTCGTACTACGTGGATTTCACCGCCAAGTTATTCAAATCCATTAGCATTCAAGGCAGTATCCACGCTTTCCTGACCCTGAAGATGCTACTAACCTGGGAGGAACACCCCATTACCATCACACCGCTATCGCAGCAAACAACATAACATCTCCAGCCTTCCTCTCCATAGCATTTTTCGCAGCGGAAACCAGCATTTTCCGTGATGGTGAGGCCTTATATGGCACTAATTTTGTAAGATAATAATGAACGCTCGAATTTCACCAAATCTCCCACGTAACAGGAACCAATGGGTGGGACTAGTCTTATACACAGTGGCAGGGTCGGTGGACATCGAAGGACAGCATCTATTGCCTAGAGATGATCAAATTGCAAAAGTAGGTATGCACACAGAAACCCACAAATCCATTGCATGACGGAAAAGATATCACATCAACCGCAAAATTTGGCGGTGAGAAACCTACCGAATGTGAAATTTTTGAAAGCAGGAGGTACTGCAGAGGATCCGTGAATCGCTGTTAGTAAAGAAAGAGTTTTACCTGGAAACAGATATCTGAAAACAAACCTCTTTCAATCTGGTCAAACAATTCTGAGATAGTAGCGTTGGGACTGATGTGAGGAAGTATTAGATAGCAAGTTGTCCGGAATTCAAATGAGCGAATAAGCGTCACTGGAATATTGATAATAATATCCATTTTAATTCCATACAAAATAGCACGAAGATGATTCTCGTTGGTTAAATCCAGTGCTAGTGAGAAGAAAAATAATTTACTTAAAGTCGTATCATAAAAATTTAAAACCAATCCGTAATAAAGAGACTAGGTGCCCTTCATACGGGGCTCAGCAGGTCGCACTATGAAAATGTTGATGCCTCGTAGGTTATATCTAATTTAGTCAAGTAAAACGTTTTACCAACCTTTGAGTTAGCATGCATTCAATAAGATGAACAGACTACATGAAAGCCAATAAGAGTCAATTTCTGCGTACACGCCTGGGGTTGGTGACACCTGTCCTTGGGTGGTTATGCCCCACTTAACTGCGCATTGATGATGTCACCTCGTTTGGTGACGAAACGTTAACTGCCAAGCTTGGTGAACTGGCTAAAAACCGCCTGTTTGCAAATGAAGTTCAAAAAGGTCAGTGTCGTCTGCATACTCGATATCCGAGAGCCTTATGGAGATCCAAGAATTCACGGAGGTCATCTTTGTTCTATGTACACTGCCATAGCTCACGACGAACACGAGTAAAAGGCAGCTTTCAAGTCAAGTTGTTGGAAGCAGTGTGGCTGCTCCCTAATCCGGAGGAGTGAATATGTGATCGGTCCATCCTCTTGCACCTGGCTTGGTTTTCACGGATCTGCCTGTCAGTGTTCAATCAACCTTCGAAGGATGAGGGCACAGAGCACCATGAATGCCACAACTACCAGACTAATGTCATATAGCAACACTCTTGAAGGTAAGGATGATTACTGGCGCGTTCTATTCCACAAAGGTTTTCTTTTCACTCAACATAGCACCAGTGGATTTCCTTCAGTGGTTAACCAGAGAATCTCCACCATCTTTAAAGATAGCTGAATATCTCTTGTCCTAGTGCCCCCCTAACACATTTCCTAGACGTTGTAGAGGAAGATCTGAAATAATAAAACTTCAGAAATTTTGCTTAGTACACATACAGTTATTCTTGCTTGATGTGACAATCCAGGATGCTGTAGTCTGAAAGCGGTATCAGTGTGAATCTGAGTCAAACTCACGGACCTATTATCCTGTTAGATAGAAAACCACACAAGCGAACTCACATATGCTGATGCAAGAAAAGTTCAGAGCATTATTTGAGGATACAAAAGTACACCCGAATATTACAAGACTTATAAAACCACTGCAGTCTCTTTTGAATAATGTCTTACAAAGGTAAGTACTTCGATATGCTGAATGTCTTTCGAAATGTAAGGCGGTCTTTGGGCAATACAGTAAGTTTAAAAGTATTGTGAACAAGGGGTTTAGTCTACCGCGTATAGTGGATAGACTAGATGCAAAATCTTTCTGACTTGAACAAATTCACGATGCACGGAGAGCAGGTTGTCGTTATTCCGAAAAATTCCAGACATCTCATACTTTTCCGCCACTCATCTAAGGTCTTGATCAAACAGGCCTATCTTGAAAACGAACACCTGATTGTCCATGATACCAGAGTGCAAGGTAGCTAAAGACGGCAGCATCCATCTAAGGAGGTAACGTCACTTGGAAAGAAGGTTGTTCTTAGCGAACTACACTCATTTGCAAACAAATCTGGTTTTGCGAGAGACTCATCTGGAAACCAGCTGAATACCTCTTTAGTGATGTTTCCAGGCAGCCGAATGTGCTGCACCGGGCCGTCCAATGTTACAGTCGCTAGGATATTCGAGATATCGCGATACATGTACATTCGTAATGCACTACTCATTAGGTTTCTGAAAATTCTTCGACAGTCTGGCAAGCTCCTAACACGTCCTGAAGTCGACCTTCCATGTTGTTATTTGTTAAAGATGACTTCATGGCCGTTTCATGAAGATACTCAAGGGGTAGTGTGGAACAACCAGCCTATCACATGATTTTCCACTGGTCCCGGGCAGTACACATCGGTGAAGTTGATCCGAATGTGACTCTTTCTTGCCACCAAACAGTTCCCTCAACCCATTGACCGAGGCGCTATAGGACACTTCAAAAAAGATGAGGCATGAATATCTGCAGGTTTCTGAGAGTCATCGATGCGTCTTGGATAGAAGTTCCCCGAACAACAATGAATGGCGCATTATGGTTACGGATCTGTTATTGCTGATTTTCGGAGAAGAGACAGACAAGCCCATTGAGACCGAAAAGCAGGTCCAGGATCAAGTGATCATGGTTAACGTACAGTCACAACACACCATTTCTGCTCGGACTAGTTCCAGCCTCACTTCGCGCATTCTAAGTAAGTAAAAAAAAATCACTACCGCATTACGCCGCCTCAAATTACCTGGAGACGACTCCACCGTGCTGCAGTAACAGCGAGAAAATTGTTAAAAGCATATCAAATGGTTGTTTTTATTAAAAAGGGAATACGGATGCTGAACAGGTTAACAGTTTTGAGAACGTGAAAGGGTAGCAGAAAGATAAATAAAAACATTACCTGATGACTCCTGTTTCAGGCAAACGTGTTCCCAGATTGAAACATTGATTTCGTAACAGTACTTTACGTCAAACGCTGCTCTGCGTGCGACGATATACCTAACACAGTCTACGAAAGTTTTGGTAGATCTTCGGAATTCATCCGGTATCAGGAAAAACCAGCGCATCTTGGACCAAAGTAACCAAAGCATTAGCACTGAAAAAATATTTACTCGCTCACGATTTCGGTTTTGCTGAGCTGATAACGGATATCTCGAATGTTTTGTTACCACTTGCTACTGAGGTTAGGAAAGCAAAGTTAATTTTTAAAAGGATTTCTTAATTGAGAGCCCTGAAATTTCAAAGCTAAAAATAAGCCGTTTTTACTACCCTCCCAAATATCTGGCAAACTTCTGCTCTCAAGGTTTCGCAGTCAAGTACTTCCCGAAAGATCTTGATGTTCGTTTCGTACGAGGCCATTTTCAACAGAAAGACAGCACTGCTCAAAAACATTGGATAAATTCCTCATAAGTTCATAGACAAAAAAGATATGTTGATGACGTAGAACTATGGCTACGGACGTCAGGTGTTATGGCAAAGAAACCACATCAAAACCGTCAACCATACTGTCGTTGTTACATACAGATTGCGTGTATATAATGAAGAATAGATGCGAAGTTTAAGGACTAAAAGCATAATGCAGACCGAGTCAGAGTTGAACAGATGAGCATCGAATTGAGTTTGGGATATGTGGATACTATGGAAATCTAAGAGAACATAACCACAAAGTGTTGCAAAGTAGCGTTTATGAGAAAAATGAAGAGATTTCCGGGTGGTCATGGGGCATTCCCACCAGATATAGATGCCTAGAAGCAAAGAGACTATTTGCAAGGGTGTCTTGGGAAGCGGAACACGGGACACCAGTTCGGAAGATGTCTTGTCATGGTGGTGGCGACAAAATTAAGGCCAGGTCTCGTCAGCGGAAAGAGGGTTGAAAGTCACCAACCAGAGCGGGGGAAAGAAAAAAGCCGTAAAACTTTCCATTGAAAGTGGTCAGGGAGTAAGCGGCCCGAACCCAGACATGAAAAAAGCATTCCATGTTGAGATGACATGCAGATCAGGGGCAAGGAGGGGTGAGAAACAAATTCCGGAGAATAAATGGAAATCCAACCTTCTTGAAGCCCAAATCTGTAACTTGGTGAACATGAAAAGACCGGAAAAGACCGTTAGAAAATGATCAAAAAAGGAAACAATTAGAAGTTGGGATGGGTACAGAGCTGACGGACAGTACAGTGAAACGGCGAAGGGATAGGAAATCCTGCACAGACAAGGAAAGGTTGAACCGCGCTTTGGTAAACCCCAATTATGAATCGTAACAAGGTCAGAATTCAACGTACTAATTGTCTGCACGATGTCATCAGTTAACTGAGACACAAGATGTGAGAGCTCGGAGAAATATCCCATATCCCTGTTGAGATGCACCACAATCGCTCGAAGCAGCAAAACAAGCAGGCTGTTCGGAAGGGCTTTTAGTGCGGCCTCTACCATATGGACTTGCGCAATATGTGGACGCATGTGCATCAGTAGGATTGGCATTGAATCATACACCGATCTGCCCGCAAAATATAAGCGAATAACGTCAAAGTAAGCTTGTCGAATATTAGAGTGAGACTGACTAGTAACGCCAGTACCTTGATGATATGATACAACAATCATTCAGCTGTAACACCCTTTCGGTGCCGTGCCACCCAAAGGGAGCACGAGAGCTGGAATACTGTCAGGTTGCCCAAGCCTAGACAGGAAAAGTTGAGAGGCAGAGGTCGGGTTCGTAACACGGACCTTCCGGTCAGTAAATTCGCGCTCTACTCACTTGAGCCCTCTCACCAACTTGATGATAAACAAATAAACGGGCCGGTATCCACTTTTATCACATGCTGAGGCCGAGCGGCGGCTTTTGACAGGACTCCGTGCATCCGCTTGCTGATTGTATTCGAAGGGGTCAACACTGGCCACAAGGACTTGTATGCTGCACCATATCCGGCTCAGAACAAACCATTAGCGACTCTCCAAGAACGCGCAAGTGTCCGTTAATTTGACCACTGATTCGGGCACATATATATATATATATATAGTATACTTATATTATATGTTATATGTTTGTGCCTATGTGACCCACTGAGTTATACTGCGTAGTGTCCGTGTGACACTCCCAGTCAATGATGAGAGGTCTGACCAACAGTCTGCCGGTCCTCCATTTTTGGGGCAATGTGTTCCGCGAAATAGAATTTCCAGTCAAATACTGTCTTAATGTCAGGCTTTTGGGTCAAAGGCTCTGGTTAAGGACATTCATCATCCTCCCGTCTAAGTGAGGGCGCCCTGACAGTATCCCAGCCCGCGTACAACCATGAAATGCACACACAAATAACCTCATGCCAGCTCGGTCGTCGCGTGCGGCGCCTCACTTCGTGAATACAGCAGGGCGGGGAAGCTAAAACAGGTTAATGCTGACGCCCTGTTCATTTACATTTACATATTTTTACTTTCTCCTCTCCCCACCCCACTAATAGCTCTCTTGTAGGCCCAGAAATTAGTATTGATATCTCCATTCATCCTACATCGGTTTTGCAAGCAACA